CTCCCCAAAACCCCAAAACCCCAAAACCCCATTTCAGAGAGATTTATTTGAAAATAAGAAATAATTAATTAAATGGACAGTTTTGAAGGCCAAATGAAAAACTGAAATGATAAAGAATTGACAAACGGAGAATTCACCTTCAATGGACGATCTAAAAGCGGTATGGAGCCTGAAGAGATCGAAAATGATACAGCCAATAGGCTTGTTAATACCTCTGAGTGTAGGGCTTTATAATAGGGATAGCTTTAATAATTTCGTATAGCTTCAGAAATCGAAAAAGTTCAAGGATTTGACCCCAGTAGAATGATTATGTTAACACCTTCATACTCTCTTGATAGTCGTGAAAGGAAAACTAATAATCGCACTCCAGAGAAGACTATTAAAAGATTCCCTAATCCTGAGAGCAAGACTCTACAGAAGAATAAGATGACTAGACATAAAAGATCATCAACGACTATTCATAATACTCCTCAGAGCCATTTTCCAGGAAGATCTGACAAAAGTGAGCCTTCTACTGAAGAATTCTATTTCAAAAATAAAATTCAAGAGCTAGATAGCGACTTGCACTCCAAAGAAGCAGAGCTAGCCGATCTAAACATCAGCTACAACAGACTTTGCTCCTACATGTCTCAGCATGATACACTAAAAGCCTCCAACAGATCCCTAAAACTAAAACTAAAAACCCTCCAAGAGAAAGAAACCACTCTAAAATCCCTCCAAGCCTCCTACACCAAACTTAAAAAGGACCACAACACCCTAAAATCCACTTACAAGACCCTCTCTGAGGAAGCCACCCACCTTAAACTGACTCTCGCCAAAACAAAAACTCCTCAGAACCACCTCAGTAAGTTTGCTAAGCGAGAAAAAGAGGCAACAACTAGATCGAATAACAAACGGGTCACTCTATCCCACAAACACTGCTTTCAAACCCGTATCAAGAAGCATATTTTACCTCATATCGACTATTCTTCGTTGAATTTAAGAGCTTGTCTTGAATCATAATTCTAAACGTTCTACTCACTGAGTGCAGTTGACTGTGCCACTTCTTTTAGATTGGCTAAATTAGAGAAATAACGAGACCTGCCTAGATTCCTAGCTGTACCAAACCATGCATATTTGCAAAGCTTATAATACAGCTGCCTAGGCCTTTAAACTAAGCCATTCTTAGAAGTATCACAGAGCTTTTAGAGCATCTAAATACAGTTTTAGAGGTTATATAAAACCGCAAGCCAGCTAGACAATTTGAGACTCTCTCATGAAATACTTCATCTCTTTGTTATTAGTCTGAATTTATTTCCTGAAATCCATGCACCAATAACATCTTCACCTTTACCATTCCGACTACTTAGGCCTAATAACTGCATAAGTCTTAGGTTTTTGACGCTTGAAACATTCTGAACCTAACTTTCCAAGATTTCCGAATCTTTCAATAATATTTAAGACTTACCTTGATTCAGATAGAATTAAACAACTGGAGACAAGCCTGAGAAGAGCCAAGGCTGAGATAGAGAAGTACAAGAGTACATTATTGAAGAAGGAAAAGGAAATCCAGGCTAGTTTAAGGAACAGGAAAGAGAATTGTAGTAAAGTGTAAGGGGATTTAGGCATTTTTAGAGGGTTTAGAACGGTTTATGAGTGGATTTACATGGGTTTTTGTTGATTTAGAGGTAAGTTTGACTTATAGGAGTAATAAAGCGTCTGTTGAGAAGGTAGATACGGCTAAGAAAGTGTCAGTAGTTGAAGAAAAATCATGAAAGAGAAATCTTAAGAAGGAATTTGAGGAATTCTCTAGTGGAATGGATGCAGCTCCGCTCACACTAAATTGAGAGGAATTTGATTACAAAACTGAAGAAGCTCTTACCAAAGAGTTAACCATTCTACAGAAAAGTTACGAAGAGCTAAAGGAGGAATTTGAAAACCAAAGGATAGAGCTGGAGGAAACAAGGTACTCTTCTTTAATGCTAAACTGCCATTAGCCTCATTTTCTATCAAATTAAACAATTAAACTGCAACTCTCTAAACTTTTTCCTTCTAGGTCCTGCTTATCCTCTTGAGAGGAAGAGATGAAATTAGTCATTAAGGAAATCCAAACCCAAAAAGAAATCAACCAAAAAATTATGAACGTCAACCATATGGAAAACGCCAAGCTTGAGGAAGCTTCAAAGAACTTGAAGTCTACAAAGGATGATAACAAACTCCTCAGTTCAGCTAAGAAATCTCTTGAGGGGAAAGTTAGGCATCTTCAAAACGAAAATAATCGGCTAGAGAAGGACCTGAACAAGGCTCGAGCTTCTACTAAGGAATACAGTGATAAGCTTCAGAAGAAGACCATTCAGTATAATGATCTTAGTTCAAAGATGAAAACCCTCTCATTCCAGAATAGGAATATTAACACTGAGAGAAGAGTAAGCCTCCGACCTTTAGTTCCTGGTTGACCTTTTGTAGAAATCCCATCTTTTCATTGTTGATAATGATGAAGAAATTAAAGGAATCGAGCTGGATGACACTTTCTCAGTTACACATGTAAGTTATATGGTGGTAGTCTTATAGACCGATAACTCGAAGGAAGAACTTGAGCACCAACTAGAGAGGCTCGTTAAGGAGAATAAAGGTACCAATTGTTATTTATTTAGATTATAGAGCTTCAACATAAATTGTCTCAAATGACTAAGGAGCAAGAATCTTTTAATTCTTCCAGAATCATTGAGAAGTTACAAGAAAGTGAAAATTCAGAAATTTCAAACAAGGTCTTATTAAGCATGAAGAAGGAGTTATCTGAATCAAAGGTAGGTAGCCTTCTTTTAAGTTCAATTACTCTTCATGGAATTCCCTGCTCATTAGTGCTTTAGACAATCAGAGATTGTCAGAAACAGATGATTTTGGTAAGATTTTAGCCTTGCTTGAAGATCTGACATTTTAGAAATTACAAATTGATAATGAAATGTTGCAATTACAAATAAGTCAGTTGAACTTAAAAGAAGAAGATGTATCAACTCCTACAGAATTGTCTAAATCTGGGGCTACGGATTATGCAGTCCAGGTAGATGATCCTGAGAAAACTGTAATGACACAGAAACTCTTAGAGTACCAACAGAAGGAGGTAACCCCTTTTGTTACGTTCTAGGGCTATATCTCGCATCTTGAGGCACAAAACAAGACCCTGCAAAGTCAGGTTGAGGAGTTACAGACAAAAGCTAGAGTATGCATTGAAGAGGAAAAGCGGTTTGACTTTCTCAATTTTGACAGTAAGCCTATCTCCTAATTTGGTATAGACCAAGATACCGATGAAGAACAATCTAGTGAAGGCGAGCTAGACAAGGTTGATGTTTGACAGCAATATCTTCAAGAAGTTGAGAAAGATATGATAGGACTTAGGAAGAAGTATAAACTCGTGAAGAAAGGTCTAGTGAAAAGGACTGGTGATACTCCAGACGCACATACTGTTCAAAGCGAGCACGAGAACGCTCAAAATTGAATCATTTTCTAAACTTTCCATTAGAGAGATACGTCCATGTTCTACAGTGTAAAATTTCAATTTCTGCAAAGTGATACGGGGTTTTGGGGTTTTGGGGTTTTGGGG